CCATCATCATCAACACAACAGAAGCACACCATGACATCATCATCAACACACCATGAAACAACATCTATACAACATGAGATGACATACACAACATGACATCATCATCAACACAACAGAAACACACCATGACATCATCGTCAACACACCATGACATGAAACAACATCTATACAACATGACATCATCATCATCAACACAAGAGAAACACACCATGACATCATCATCAACTCACCATGAAATAAAAACACAACCTCTGTGCAACATGACATCAATATCTACCTCAAGACTTCACAGTATCAACAAAATATGACAGCATCACAGAGTCAGAACAGTATGTCAACATCATCACAACACGACACAACACCACCAGCATAACACATCACAACAAATACATCCACACATCACAACATTGACACAAGCACATTGCAACATACTGCAATACCGTCAGCATGCACACAGGTGCAGTCCCACCCCTCCTGCGGGCGGCGGCTCTGACTCACGCGTGGTGACGCTGATGGTGACTGGCGGCCCCTCGCGGTTCTGGACCAGCGCCGTGACGCGCACCTCGTAATTGGAACCTTCATCCAGACCTTCGAGGTCCACGGCTGTGACATCCCCTGGAACCACCCGGCTGGACTCTGGGCCTCCTGGCCGGGCGGAAACACAGAGAGGAAGTGAGGGACCTGAGGCAGACTGCAGTACAGAGGCACTGAGGCAGACGGGAGTACAGAGGGACTGAGGCAGACGGGAGTACAGAGGGAGTGAGGCAGACTGCAGTACAGAGGTAGTGAGGCAGACTGCAGTACAGAGGCAGTGAGGCAGACTGGAGTACAGAGGGTCTGAGGCAGACTGGAGTAAAGAGGGAGTGAGGCAGACTGGAGTACAAAGACAGACATCAACAGAGAGAGGGAGAGACGAACTGGGGACACAAGGGCACCATGCCCACATACCATCGGTGCGTTGCCACACTATCCTGTAGGAAGTGGCTCCCTGCACTCCAACCCAGGTCACCCTGGCAACATTAGCGCGTGACTCCAACACCTGCAGCCGGGTCACTGTCCCCACCGTGTCCTGCTCCTTGGCTGGGGGCACAGCAGAGCACAGTCACAGAGCAGTCGCAACAAGGCAGCAGACCAGCCCAGCTCCCCGACTACTTGGCAAAGCATCGCCCACCAGGCGGGCGTGAGATCGCGTGAGCGCCAGCTTCAACATGATGACACCACATCGGACTTTTGAAGCTTTTAATAATTCATCTGTTTCAGGTGGCATGTCCTGAGACAAGTCCTTCTGCCCAGTGTTGTCTGTGTGCCCGTGTGCGAGCAGGTGGCCACAGGACTGACCAACATGTCTCCCTGACCTGTGCGTCCAGAAATGGTGGCTGCCGTGCCGTCCCGGTTTCCAAACACAGCGGCGACACGGATGCTGTAGGGGGTGTCTTCCTGGAGATTCTCGATGGAGAACGTAGTGGTGTCAGCAGTGACCACACGAGAGATGTCCACTCCTGATGTTGGGAGAGAAGCAAAACAATACAGCCAATCACAGCGCAGAACTACAGCAGACCAGCCAATCAAAAACCAAGCAATACACAACCTAACCAATGCCAGCAAAGATAAGAAAAATATCTCACCAATCACAGCACAACATCCCCAGTTAAAACAATATGAGAAACCATGTGTTCAGCAAGATCAACAATAATCTCACCGATGACAGTGATGACAGTGATGCAGTAAGGTAGCAGAGCAGTGGTACAGTCGCCTGTGACTCTGTGTCACCGACCTTCCAGAAGAAAGATGAAAGGCAGAAAAAAAAAGGAGGAAAGTGGAAACATTAACACCTTGAGTAAAGGAGAGAGAGGCAAAGAGAAATAAAGAGGAGATACAAAAGAGAAGAGGGGCAAGGAGCGAGACAGGGCTATAGATAAGTGAGTGAGAGGAAGTGGTGTTTGCTTGTCAGTTTAGGAGTGCTACCATCTCTCTTCCTCCAGGTGATCCTGTATCCCGTTGCCCTGGCGACAGGTGTCCAGGCGATGCGGATGCTGCTGCTGGAAGCATCCAGGGTGCTCAGCTTAGTCAGTGTCCGTACTGGCTCTGAACAGAGAGCGAGGGGGAGGGAGAAGGAGACATAAAGGGGGCAGAAAGAGAAGAAGAGAGAAAGGTGTAAGTGTTGGTCACCACACACTCACTGCCTCAAATATTAGGAACCCCTCAGGCTGGGCCTGCAGGCAGAAAGATGCAGTTTGTATTCCAAATGATTCTAAAACACATCCCCCCCAGTCCCAGTCCTGAGTTTCTGAAGAGCTGTGAAGGTCTCTAGGACTGAAAACACCTCCTGTGCCACTGGTTTCCAACAGAACTGAGGTCAGGGCAGTGCTCCAGCACTCCTCTGGCTAGGACAGTGAGGAAAGTCACCCTCCTGCTCCCAAAACAATCATATTCCCACTGACAGTCTGATCAGCTGACCCAACTGGAGATCCTAATATTTTGGCCAGGGCATTTCATCACACCAACAGCAGTAGGAGCTGCGAGTGTCCTCTGCTCGGACCCGGAGCCAGAGAGCGAGCATGCTGCTCACAGCGGTCTCCTCACAGGAGGGGCAGGGCAGACAGGGCCTGACAAGCCCAGCTCAAGTCATGGAAATTCCAAACCACAGCAGATTAAACACTCGAAAGTGAACTAAGCATCTAAAACCAGCTATCTCCTTAGTCACCAATTCCCAAAATCCTCCTTATTCTTGGATCAGGTATCAGACATTCTGACTTCTCTTCTGGCTACAAGATGTGTTGGAGAGAAAATGTGGGATGAAACCCTACCTGTCCTGGCATTTAGAGAGGCAGGACTTCCTTCCCTTGAGCCAATTAAGGCAGAGACTGAAACTCTGTAGGCGGAGTCTTCCTGAAGTCCATCAACGGTAAAGGAAGTGACATCACTGCCTACCCTGCGGGAGGACTCCTCTCCTACAGAGAGAGCAAGAGAGAGAGACTGAACAACAGGGGACAGATTTATTGGGCAAGAGCGTGACATTCACAAGCCACCACTTCTGAATTCCACCTTCCACCAGTGACTGTCTGCATGTCCATGTGGGAGCTAAGTCAGGTTAAAGAACAATCAGGCAGTATAAAGGGGAAACATGGCAATTTTAATTTAATCTGAGTAAGTATGTCCTTGACACAGCACTATGGAGGCCCATGCTGTGCCTACCATCGTCACGACGCCAACTGATCTTGTACTCTGTTGCCCTTGGCAGTGGAGTCCAAGCTATCCGGATCCTCCTGTTCCCCGTGTCCAGTACCCGCAAGCCAGACACCCTGCCCACCAGCTCTGGAGCTGTCCTGGAGGACAGAGTGACCGCACTGCTCTCACGCTGGCCAATAAGAGTGTAGACAGCAATGACCAGGGACTCGTCAGCCACCAGCCCCTCCATGGTGAATGAGGAGGAGTCGCCTGGCAACAACCGGGACTGCGCTTGTGCTGGAAAAACACAAAATCTGTCAGAATCCACTGCAACAGTGACTTCGCCACTCCAGCATCAGTGACATCACTGCCACAGCACTGCCACAGCATGAGTGATATCACTGCCACAGCATCAGTGACATCGCCACTCCAGCATCATTGACATCACTGCTACAGCATCAGTGACATCACTGTTACAGCACTGCCACAGCATCAGTGACATCACTGCCACAGCTTAAGTGACATCACTGCCACAACAGCCTTACTACAGCTTCAATAGTCACACCAGTGTTTGAATTGTATTGTATTATTAACACTGCACACCAATATACTATATATAGTTTATAGAAAGGTTGTCACTCTCCAAAAACAAACCCAGAAATAAAAGACGCCACCTACCACTGCCCTGCCTCCAGGTGACCCGGTAGCCTGTTGCTCCAGCAGCCCTGGACCAGGCAATGCGCACTTGATTGCTGCTGGTGTCAGTCACCCTCAGGTCTGTGACCCCGCCCACCGATTGCTCTGCCAGCAGGAACAGGAAGTGCTTCACACACAGGGAAATCCACAATGCCCACAGCCCACTGGCTGAACAGCAACACACTGGCTGAACCGCAGCCCACTGCTTGTCACTCCACTGCAGCCCTCTCCCTCTCACTCCTCTACACCTCACTCCCTCTCACTCCCTCCAAAATACTGCCTCTCACTCTCTCACACCACTACACCTCACTCCCTCTCACTCCTCTACACTGCTGCACTCCCTCTCACTCTCATTCTCATTCATTCCCACTCACACCACTGCAGCCCTCTCCCTCTCACTCCTCTACACCTCACTCCCTCTCACTCCCTCCAAAATACTGCCTCTCACTCTCTCACACCGCTACACCTCACTCCCTCTCACTCCTCTACACTGCTGCACTCCCTCTCACTCTCATTCATTCCCACTCACACCACTACAGCCCACTCCCTCTCACTCCTCTACACTGGCGCACTCTCTCTCGCTCACTCCCTGCCAGCTGCGCACCATGCCTCCTCACGTACTTGTACCTCAGTATCTCACTCCACCAGGACCCCCTGACCCTGTCCGTCCCCTCCCCCAGCCCAGCTCACCGGTCCTGGTGCTGACAGTGGTGGGGTTTCCTTCCACCCCCCCGACCAGCACCGCCACGCCCACTCGGTACCCCTCGTTCTCCCGCAGGCCCACGATTTCGTAGGAGCTGGCGTTCCGGGGTAGCGTCTGACTGAGCTCCCTGCCTGCAGCACAGAGGCAGAGAGACATGGGAACCGGGTCAGTGGCCACGGCCAGGGGAACCGCAGCAACAGTGGCAGGACCGGGACTGACCGTCACCGCTGCGCCAGGTGACCCGATACCCCGTGGCCTGTGCGATGCCAGTCCAGCTGATCCTGATCCGGTCACTTCCTCTCTCCAGGATTCGCAGGTTGGTTATGATGGGCTCGGAGACAACCTCCTCTGGAAAAGGACACAGGATTGCAGTGTCGCCGCATCGCAGGAGGGCTGAAACTTGTCTGAGCGCTCCATCCCAGAGAGCCTTTAACTGGAGTGATTCTGCAGTTTCTGCTGCCTCTTCCACACTCTCGTTGCTCCTACTGAACACGTCCCATCTGTCCTCTCCTGCATCCCACACCACTTCCTCACTCCCTGCACAGCTGCCTCTGTCCCTGCTTCCCTCCTCCTCTTCTCTCCATCCTGACTCCCGCTGCCTCCCTGCCTCTCAGTGCGTCTCTCCAGGCTATGATCCTTCATCCCTCACACAAAGTTCCTCCTTCTCTTATTCTGCAAATCTCTCCTTCCTGTCCTACGATTCCTGTTCCTGCTCTCACCAGTCCTGATGCTGACAGACACGGGGCTCCCCTCCTGGCTCCCCACAAGCGGTGTGACAGTGATAGTGTAGGTCACCCCAGATGCAAGGTCGCTGAGGTCGATGGAGGTGCGGTCTCCCAGGAGTTCAGACTGCTCTGTCCCATCTGGAGTAGAAGACACAACCACAGCACAGAGTTACAGCACAGAGCTGCAGCAACAGCACAGAGTTACAGCACAGAGCTGCAGCACAGAGTTACAGCACAGAGTCAAAACACAGAGTCAGAGCAACACCATAGAGGTACAGCACAGTGATAACTCACTGAGTTATGGTTCTCTCACAATCAGGAATGTACTCACCCTGTGTGTTGAGAACAGTCACTCTGTAGCCTGTGGCTCTAGACACTCTGGTCCAGGTCAGTCTGACCCGGCCTCCTCCCAGATCCTGGACCTGGACATCCCCCACACTCTGCACCTCTGTAAGGACACACAGGCTGGGGGTCAGACACACAAACACTCACCAGTGCACTCCCGACAGACACTCCAGAGACACGTGTGTCAGACCCCCCCTCCCCAGAGACACGTGTGTCAGACCCCCCCTCCCCAGAGACACGTGTGTCAGACCCCCCCTCCCCAGAGACACGTGTGTCAGACAGACAGTGGATGTGATCCCCCTCCTGGTGGCTCGCGGTACTGTGAGGAGTCCCACTCACCTGCCCTGATGGTGACAGTGACGGGGGTCCCCTCCCTGCTTCCCACCAGCGCGGTCAGACTGATCCTGTAGGACACCCCCTCCTGCAGGTCCTCCAGGTCCAGGGTGGTCTGATCGCCTGGGATGCTGAGAGAGCGCTCCTTCCCGTCTGCAAGAGCAGAGAGCGGTCAGTTACAGCAGCCTCCTCCCACAGCCCAGAGCAGACCAGGCTCCAGCTGAAAGAATCTTCACATGAGGCTTACAAGCTTAGCAGCAAACTTTCTGGGGACAATGAAGAGTCAGAGCAGGCAACAGGAAGAGAAGTGTGTGTGTCCTGATTAAAAATATTGAGCACGCGCACGGACACTGGTCATGTCCAGGTGGTACCCACCCTCGGTGTTGATGATGCGAATGAGGTATTCGGTCGCCCCGGCAACGCCCGTCCAGCCCAGCCTGACCGTTCTGCCCAGAGTCTCCAGCACCCGCAGGTTAGACACGCTGCCCACAGGCTGATCCACTGCACACACACACAGCAGTTAACACCACAACACAGGGAGCAGAAATCATTTTCCTCAATGATAACTTCACTGCACTGTCTTAAGACAGTGCAAGTGCTTAGCACACCGGGGCAAGCTCCACAGAGAAGACACCAGGAGTCCCCCGGCTGGGGCGCAGTGCTGGCCCAGGCTGGGCGGCTCGAGCTGTACAGGTCAGCTGTGCCACAGCGCCGTCGGGACAGCGAAGCTGCTCTCGAGAGCTCACCTGTCAAGGAGGTGGAGGCGGGCGTGGCCACTTCCCGGCCCTCGTACAGCGTGTACAGCGTGATGACGTACTCCGTCCCAGGCTGCAGCCCAGTGATCTCGTATCTGTTAGTGCTGGTGGGAAATGACAGCCTCTGCGTTTCGCCCCCTGTGGGCCGGAGGACAGAATTGCAGGCATTATTCCACAGGCGCTGACGAGACCAGAGTGACCTCAGGATTTCATTCCAAACCAGCTATGAATGGCTGAATTGATGGAATGATCAACTGACTATTCAACAATGATTGAGAACCATTTATTTAATTTATGTAATTAATTAATTTTATGTAATTAATTTTAAAAAATGTTTTCCTTTTCATAAGTTTTGGTCACTGTTTTTGATATATTATTGATATATTGATATACCAGACCGTCTTAATGGAAAGAATGATAATTCAATACACTTTCAAGGGGTATTAGTGACATGAGCATAGTTCAATAAATCACATTTATTATAATAATACATTAACGAGTCAGATTAAACGTGCTGTGGTATAAAAATATCCTAACTTTAAGTGTTCTTTTAATAAGAAATTATACTAACATCTTGCTTTTGTATAGTGTTTTTCCTTTCAAAGCATCCTAAAGCATTTCATCCACACTAAAGTGCAGCCATTCCGATCAGGTAGGGACCTGAGATATTGCTCTATTAATTGAATTGCGGGAAACTTTTAGGGAGGCTTGATTTTCATGTCCAGAGTGGACTTTATCCAGGAGACCAGAGGAAACAGGGGCTTCCTTAATGACCAGTACTCAGGACGTCAGTCCAGAACAGCGCCTCCTACAGCACAATGTCACCACACTGGGCCACTGGTCTGCACAGTGGTCTTCCATCCCACAGCTGACCAGGTCCCTGCGACCTGCAGGAGGACAGAGCTGCTGCCCACTGCAGTCCACATCTCTGTGCCGGGACACTCATTTCCCCAGGTCACCCAACAGAACCTCACCTGCAGCCCGCCTCCACTCCAGCCGGTAACCCTGTGCTGACTGGATCACGTTCCAGGTGACCCGAATGGAGCTGGGCCCAATCGTGAAGGTCCGGAGAGTCTGCTGCTCTGATCTCTCTGAGGGGGAACAGAACCAGAACAGTGCTGACTTTCACACTTGGCTATGACATGCTGACGGGCAGACATGGGGTGAGAGGAGAAGCCGGGACACACGGTCCGCTGGAGGTCAGGGCACAGTATGAACAGCTCTCAGTCCGCTGGAGGTGAGGGTACAGTATGAACAGCTC